CGGCGACAGTGCGGCAAATGGTCAGCCACATTGCGGAGGCCAAATGGCGCTCAGCATCGCCGCTCTCCTGCCAAGTATCTGATGCATCTGCCGCCAGTTTGCCGGTCCCGGCCGCCTCAACTTCCAGCGTACCAACTAGCCGTATCAACTACGCACCCTTTCGCCATTCCACGTCTGATCCCAATTCATCGCTCGCTGCTGGCCGCGTTTTCGCCTCAGCAGAGGCTACACCATCAAGTCGATCGGTTGCCGGCGGCTCGAAGAGTCATGGTTCCGGCCTTGGCCGACTGGGAAATGCGTTATGCTACAGTGTCTCGTGTTTGGCCTCCTCCTCGGCTGAACAAGGCCTGCCACAGATTCCTGGCGAGAGGGGCATTCAGCTGAAGAGTGTTCAGGCGCGAAAGAAGCTACAGCAACAGAAGAAACTGCAACTATGTAAAGGCACTGAACTGGCGAAGAATGAAGGAAGTATGGTGCCAGAAAGTCCGAGCAAGGAACTTATCAAACCGGCTCAACTGGCTGCTGCATACTCGGATTCTTTAAGGCAGATTGCCGTACGCATGACTGCCGTCTCAGTGGGCACGGCGGCTCAAGGTGACAGTGTTGGTGGAACAAGGCCAAGCCCCACCAGCTCGTCACTGTCCTCTTCCACACCGGCAGCAACTGCATCAACCACAACCACAACCACAACCACCACCACAACAACAACAACAACAGAAACGCCAACAACACAATCGCTAGCCAAAGTGGCTTCACATGACCCAGGTGCATGCATGCTGACAGCATGCCAGCCCAATCTAGACAGTGATCCTGCCGGCGAGCAATGCTACCGCCTTGAACCTTCGGAACACGAGGAGCCTGGAGCTCAAGACCGCCTCCATGCGGAACCGACCAACCGAGCCATCTGGCCGGTTGGCTACCATAGCAACTATTACTCGGGCTATTGGCCTTTGTTTGGAAGCCACAGTTCTCCACGACCCCTAGGCTCGTCGGCCGCCTCTAGTCCGATGGACGAGTGCCCGCATTACACGTCGGCGCTGAGAAACTCACCCTCCTACCTCCCGATTCCCCACTTCAACGGACTCATGGTCGACTCCACTCCGCTGAAATTCCCACTCACTATTCATAGCCCTGCTCCTCCTGCTCCTGCTCCTGCTCCTCCTTCGACATCTCCAGTTCATCAGCCCAATCACTTCTATCCACGACTTGCATATCGTCCCTTCTCTGGCGGATTTCTAAGCCCAGGCGCCCTGTCTCCTTGTAGCCCGAATACGGTGGTAGCCGGGCCTGGCACCCCGGTAACTGGTTGCAATGGCAACACCAGCGGCTGCGGTGGTGCTGCGGGCGCTTCCGGCATGGGGCTGCGCGAATCATACGTTTACAAGCAATTTCGCATATACAGTCACGATTCTGACTGCTGGTCGTTGCTGGCACTCGGCTGCCCTCACCCACGAGCTAAGGTTGTGGAACTCAAGTTTGTAGATCGGATGCGTCGACAATTCGAATTCACCGTGGACAGCTTTCAGATCTTGCTGGACAGCCTGCTCAACTTCTATGAGACGTGTGGAACGCGGTTGCGTACAGACGGCAAAGAAAGTGATGCAGGCGGTGAGCATGCTGTCTTGCGGCCGAACTTTTATCCGACCGTCGTGGCTGAGTCTGTGTCAGGCTCGTTTCGTGAGGCCATGCATCATCTGAAAAATCGACTGATCGCCACTCGAAAACCGGAAATGATCCGTGGCGGTGGTCTCCTCAAGTACTGCAAACTGCTGGTAGATGGCTACCGACCGGCGGAAGGTGTGGATGTCGCCTCCCTCGAGCGATACATGTGCTCACGTTTCTTCATCGACTTTCACGACCTGGCCAGTCAACGCATCAAGATTGAGGCCTACATCGCAAACCACTTCCGAGAGAGCAATGAAGAATTGCAGATGGAGTATCTGAACACCATCTACCGAGTGGTTAGCGGATCTACCATCTGTCTGATGACGCATGAGCACCTCCAGACGCTTGGCTTGATCTGCGGACTGTTGCGAAGGTTAGCCTGCCGGATGAAGGCACGCCAAAATGCCGTCAACCTGGATGCATTCACCGAACGCCACCAGCTGGCCGTCGACCAGGTCTTTTATGGCACCGCCTATTTCCCTTGCATCATCCTCGTCCAGCCCACACTTTGGCAGGCCTCAAACCCCCCTACGCCCGATGCCGGCCCTTCCAGACATGACGCGGAGGAGAATCCTTATGAAGCTGGGTCTCCCGGGGACAGCTCAACTAAACTGGATGGTAGCGGACCGCCAGAAGACTTGAAAGAAATGGAGCATGACGAACCTCAAATGGAATGTTCCACTTCGCAAATCGTGGCGCGGGAAGCTGGGCCCTAAGAACTTCACAGTGAATCGGGTACAAAATCACCACCTTGTGGAGGCGAGCCACAGATAAGCCTTGATTTCAAAGTCTCAGGAAGTATCCCAAAGTAGATATTGTTTCTTCCCTGCTTAGTTCTCCCATCCAAGGCATCTGACGACAGGTTACCCCAACACTCTACACATTTGGCGATGACGATAGCCATGCAAGCCTTGGATACACAGTCCTTTACTCGTCACCATGTCCACCTGTGAATATACGGAATAGATTGAGATCGAAAGAGGCTGGAGGAGGCGAGTTTTAAGGACTGGATGCTCAAAGTCTATCGGCTCTCATTTAGGCAAGTGTGCAGCTATTCGAGCCCATGAGGGCAGATTTAGCTAACATTGGTGCAACCTTGAGTTCCTGCTTAGCCTCATAAATGTCCTCTTGTCTGTAAATAGATGGATATCCTGATAGGGTAGGTAAAGAGACGTTGACACAACAACTACCACAATGACAGCCTCTTCTCGACGGCATTTCAGGCATCAGGTCAGAGGGAAGCAAGGCCTTATCCTATCCCTCCGTCGCGACAGTAAGTAGATAAGGTATTTCATGTTATTATCTGGTGAGCCCTCCAAACCACTTTCTAAAATGCAAAAAAGAATGCATCGCATTTAACCGTCCAGTCACAACTTTAACAATTAGATATGTAACTTTTACACAGCTTTATAAATTCATTGACGTGGGGTCCATTTACCTTTTCTTTCTCCAGTGTACTAAGTTTTGAAAAGAAAAGCAAATCCTAAATTGTGTTAACCAATTTTTCAAGTGAATTATTCCATCTTTAGTTGAGATGAGCAAATTATAACATGACCAGAGCAGAGTTCTGCCTGAGCGCTCTTGAAACCGCCTGCTGCTGAGCATTCCATGACGAATACTAAACCTTTCTAACCGCTTACACGCTTACTATCAATGCTCAGCATCGAAACCTTCTCAGAACATGCTATTATTTTAATGAATTATCGTCCACGC